CCCCCCCCCCGGGCCTGCCGTAGGCGCCGGGCCCGGGCGGCGGGGTCACGTGACGTCCGAGGGCCGCAGCGGCGCCGGCGCCATGGCCGCTAAGTCGCTGTCGCGCTTTTGGGAGTGGGGCAAGAACATCGTCTGCGTGGGCAGGAACTACGCCGACCACGTCAAGGAGATGCGCAGCGCCGTGCTGAGCGAGCCGGTGCTCTTCCTGAAGCCGTCCACCGCCTACGCCCCCGAGGGCACCCCGATCCCGCTTCCCGCCCACACCCGCAACCTGCACCACGAGCTGGAGCTGGCGGTGGTGATGGGCAAGCGCGGGCGCGCCGTGCCCGAGGCCGCGGCCATGGACTACGTGGCCGGCTACGCCCTGTGCCTGGACATGACCGCCAGAGACGTGCAGGACGAGTGCAAGAAGAAGGGGCTGCCCTGGACGCTGGCCAAGAGCTTCACCGGCTCCTGCCCCGTCAGCGCGTTCGTGCCCAAGGAGAGGGTCCCGGACCCTCACCAGCTGAAGCTCTGGCTGAAGGTCAACGGCGAGCTCAGACAGGAGGGTGACACCTCCGCCATGATTTTCTCCATCCCGTACATCATCAGCTACGTCTCTAAGATCATGACCTTGGAAGAGGGGGATATCATCTTGACCGGGACGCCCAAGGGAGTTGGGCCGGTTAAAGAAAACGACGAGATTGAGGCCGGCATTCACGGGGTCGTCAGTATGAGATTCAGGGTGGAGAGGCCAGAACGCTGAGTCTACACAGCGTCCTACTTCCTCGGGGTCAGGAGGAAGGGAGCAACGGCTATTAGACGTGACTGTCCTTTATGCGAATCCAAGTATGATTGATTGTCACACCTCCACTGCAGGAAGGGAGGCCTTTCAAAAACACGTGATCTGGAAGAGCTGGGACAGGGATGTTCCAACCAAAGTAAAGGATCCGATTCCTCTGAAGAGAGTGTGTCACACCAGATGTTCAGAAGACCTCATTCTTTTCATACAACGGGACTGGACACGACTTTTCCGTGAGTCATGCTAGGAAAAAAAGTTCAACACTTAAAGCTGTAAAGGGAGCCTCAAGTCAGACAGATTTCCTGGGACTGGGCCAGCCGGTGGTGTGGTGGCTAAAGCCACCCAGTCCCACATGGCTCTCTGTTGTTGGAGTCCTGAACCCTGCAGCTTAAAAAATTACAAAAAAAAAAGGAATATATATATATATATATATATATATATAAAATATATATATATACACACACACACACACACACACACACATCTCACAAGTTTTCTTGATTCTGATAATCATCTGGAGGCATTTATAAAAATAAAAATTTGAAATTACTAGCCCATCTGAATTAATTCCAAAGGAATCTGTGTATATGAGGACTCTTACGTGACTCTTTTTTTAAAGAATTGTTTATTTTGGGATCAGCAGTTAGCATAATAGCTATGTCACTGGACTCCCATGTAATTGACCACGGTTCAAGTCCTGGACCTGGTGGCTTAAACTCATGCCAGGCACGTGTGCATGCATGCCCAAGATCCCAAGAGGAGAATGGAGGAGAAGGGATTGTGGCGTGGCCATCCCCCCCGGGGGGTGATTTCTCGCTTTCTGTCTCTCTGTCTCTCTATCTTTTTGGGGAGTGCACGCACCCTATAGCAAAAACCTCTCCAAAAAAAAAAGAATTGCTTATTTAATTCTGTTTGTTATTATTATTTTTCAAGTTGACCAGACAGAGACACAGAGAGAAAGGGAAAGTGAGAAAACAAGACCCCAGGTCCAGGACTTGAACCACAGTTGGTCATGTGGGAATCCAGCACCCTTAACCACCACGCCACCTGCCAGCCCCTTAAGTGGCTCTTACCAGGGAAATGCGGGAAAATATTGCTCCACGTAACTAATTTAAAAATTCTATTTAAGAAGCGAATAATTGATGGGTGCTCACCTGCTTATTTAGGGTGACCCTTAGATTCTGAGTTTGAAAGATAATTTTGACATTATTTTCCAAATAAGTGAGCTGTCTGTGTGGCCTGAGAGTATCCTTTTTCCCCAGTACTGAGAAGGGGTACTTCTTGTGGGGTGTAGGCCCCTGGACTTTGACTTTGAACCTCGGCCTCCTAAGCACTGTTCACTATTAATTGACTCCTCTACTTCCCAGAGATGAAGCTTCAGGGAAGGTGAATGGCCTGAGTGTTGCTTTCCCTCCAGCCTGCACCCTTCTGTGAATGCAGGGCAGCTGCCGGGGAGCCTGGCGGCAGTCAGGGTCCACGGAGCAGGTGGGAGCCCCTGCTGTTGGCACGTCCAGAAGGCTGCCCCCACGCCCAACACGTCCAAGTGTGCAATGATGGTTAGTGTTTCCTGAGCACTCTTGGCTGGTGCAAGCACAGTTCAGCCCATGCTTCCCTGTCTGATGTGCCCTGCCCAAAGCTGGGAGGTCGGGCTTACTGCATCTGCGTTAGACAGCCTAGATGAGGAGCCCAGGAAGCCTGGCCATGGGGCATTCCGTGCAGCAGCTCTCCCGAGACCACAGACCCCAAAGTCTTACCCGTGCTGCAGCCTGCGTCTTACAGGTCGTATTCAGACACTTGGGTATTAGCCTTGTGTTTAAGTTACAATTTCTTATGAAGTGCCATATGGAATTTGCCTATTAAATGTCATGCTAGGGGCTGACAGTGGCGTAGTGGTTAAGGGCGCTGAACTCCCACATGACTAACTGTAGGCTGAGTCCCGGACCTGGAGGCTTGTTTTCTCACTTTCTCTCAATCTGTTCCTCTCTGGTCAAATTTAAATAAATAAATAAAGTTAAATAAAATAATTCTTTTTTTTTTTTTTTTTTGAGAGGTTTTTGCTATAGGGTATGTGCTCTCACCAGAAAGAGAGACAGGAAGCGAGAAATCACACCACAATCCCTGCTCCTCCATTCTCCTCTCGGGATCTTGGGCACGCACGTACACAGGCCTGGCATGAGTTTAAGCCACCAGGTCCGGGACTCGAACTGCGACTGCATGGGAGTCCATCGACTTAGCCATCACACCAACTGCTGGTCCCTAAAATAATTACTTTTTAAAAATGTCATGCTAAATTACTTTCACCGTCAATAGCTCTGTAGGAGGGGTTGGTCTTGTTTGGATAGGGTCTCAACAGGTCATGCTCCTCCTGCTTCACTCACTTTACTTGGGACCGGCGGTGGCACCACTGCCCTGCTTTAGGGGAAGGCAGGAAATGAGCCCAGACTCCCCACATGGCCTGGACTTCCAGCACTACTGCTGCTGGGCCTGGTTTCGTTTTTAATTGCTTAGTAGTACATGCTTATTACAGAAGAGTCACAAAGCACAGCCAAAGAGCAGAATACTCAAAACTTTCTTTACCTACTCGAAGAGCCGAAGTTGGGCATTGGTGTACACCCTCCCATCCATGGATAGCACTGTAATTTTCTAACTACCATATCTGGTTTTTCATGGTATACTGTGACTATCCAGAATATTCAACACATTTCTACAGTATTATTTTCAGTGGTTGCATTAGACTCTGAAGTCAGTGCTCAATTTTTGGACATTGAAATTGTCTCTTTTTTTTTTTTTTTTAATTTTTTTAGCCTTTTTGGCTGGAACTGTCATCTTCCAGTAATTAACCAAAATGACAGAAAGGGAGAGAGGCACCCGATATGTGTTCTCTAGGCCTTCTAGAAAACGTGGAGTGTGGGACCAGCAGTTGGCTATGTCGCTGGACTCCCACATAATCGACCATGGTCCGAGTCCTGGATCCGGTGGCTTAAACTCAGGCAGGGCGCGTGTACGTGCGTGCCCAAGTTCCCAAGAGGAGAAGGGAGGGGAAGGGATTGCGGCATCACACACACACACGCACTCACACTAGTCCCCGGCCACACACACACACACACACACACCCCCGGGAGGTGATTTCTCGCCTTCTGTCTCTCTGTCTCTCTCTGTTTTTCTGGCGAGTGCACACGCCCTATAGCAAAAAAACTTCTCAAAAAAAAATTATTACTCTAGCTAGTGGGTACAAAGTTCAGCTGAGATAAGTTTGCCAGGTGTGGGGCAAGCTAAAGGTATACGGAGCAGCATTGTTCGCATGTAGCCCCAGTGGGGTGGGGCAGCGTTCACGCGCAGCCCCAGTGGGGTAGGGGCAGCGTTGGCGTGTAGCCCCAGTGGGGTAGGGGCAGCGTTGGCAGCGTTCACGTGCAGCCCCAGTGGGGTAGGGGCAGCGTTGGCGTGCAGCCCCCAGTGGGGTAGGGGCAGCGTTGGCGTGCAGCCCCAGTGGGGTAGGGCAGCCTTAAGCCAGCACCCAGGGAGTGCACGGCACCTCTGGGGCGATGTTGCTCACCCTAGTGGTGCGACAAGTTTCTGTCACACACACCCAACAGCACCACAGGGCTGGTGCATGTGGCACACAAAGCCCTGGGTGTAAGACTCCAGAACCGAGACGCTAATAGAAGTCCTGATGTCACCACAACCAGTAACCCCAGCACCCAGATCCTTCTCTCCCTAGCGTCTTATTTTGAATAAAAGCCTATGAGGACGTTGAAAGACTAATGCAGTGAGCTCCATGTGCCCTTCACTACATTCAGCTATTGTCAACATCTGCTGTTTGTCCTCTGTACAGAAGACTTCAAAATGTTATGAAAAAAGTGGAATTAAATACAAGTTTAGCATGGTGCAAAAAATTGTTGAAGCCCACAGATAGTTTTTTTCATAACACACATTTCCATGAGCGTGCGTGCTCGCCGGAGACAGAGACAGTGAGAGGGAAAGTGAGAAGTCACCCTCCCAGGGAGCATGGTCACACCACAACCCCTTCCCCTTCTCCCCCAGGATCTTGGGCACGCACGCACACACAGCGGGCATGATTTCCAGGTCACTGGGTCTGGAACTTGAACCACAGCCGGCCATGTGGGGGTCTAGAAACGTGAGCGCCCCGCCACCCGCTGGGCCCA